GATTCTATCTACCAGTCTTTCACTTCAACTTAAAGGATTCCCTTTAGTATTTGTTTTAGGGTGGATCTAGTGGCAATGAATTCTCTCAGCTTTTGTTTATCTGGGAAATTCTTAATTTCTTCACTTTTTTTTTTTTTTTTGAAACAGAGTCTCCCTCTGTCACCCAGGCTGGAGTGTAGTGGTGTCATCTCGGCTCACTGCAACCTCTGCCTCCCAGGCTGGAGAGATTCTTGTGCCTCAGCCTCCCAAGTAGCTGAGATTACAGGTGTGTGCCACCAAACCTGGCTAATTTTTTCATTTTTAGTAGAGATGAGGTTTTACCATATTGGCCAGGCTGGTCTTCAACCCCTGGCCTCAAGTGATTCACCTGCCTCAGCTTCTCAAAGTGCTGGGATTACAGATGTGAGTCACGGCACCCAGCCTCTTCTTCACTTTTGAATGATAGCTTTCCCAGATACAATTTTCTTAGTTGGCTGTTTTTATTTTTTTCAGTATTTTGAATGTATCATAACATTCCCTTCTGTCCTGCAAGGTTTCACTGAGAAATCTGCTGACAGTTATGGGAGCTTGGTTGTACATGAGAGCACTTTTCTCTTGCTGCTTTTAACATTCTTTCTCTGTGGCTTTTGACAGTTTGATTAAATGCAGGTTAGTATGAGTCTCTTTGGATTTGTTCTGGTTGTAATTGAGCTTCTTGAACTTGTATGTCCATTTCTCTCATGAAATTTGGGAAGTTTTTGGTGATGATTTCTTCAAATAGATTTTCTTCCCCCTTTTTTCTTTATTCTCCTCCTATGACTCCCACAACGCCTATATTGGTCCACTTCATGGTTTTCACAAGTTATTAGGCCCTCTCCACTTTTCTTCATTGGTTTTTCTTTTTGCTCCTATGACTTGAAAATTTCAAATGACTTGTCCTCAAGTTCACCGATTGTTTCTTCTGCTTGATCAAGTCTTCTGCTGAACCTCTCTAGTGAATTTTCAGTTCGTTTATTGGATTCTTCAGTTCCAGTATATATTTTTTAAAAATTAAATAGATCCTATCTGTTGATATTCTCATTTTGTTTGTGCATCATTTTCCAGATTTTGTTTAGTACTGCATCTGTGTTGTCTTTTAACTCATTGAGATTTTTAAGATCGTAACTTTGAAGTCTTTGTCAAGTTATTCATAAATCTTTTTTTCTTTAGGTGCAGTGTCTGGAGATTTATTTTGTTCCTTTAATTTAGCCTTGTTTTTTTGTTTCATTGTATGTCTTGAGATCTTTTGTTTACATTTAGGCATTAAAAGAACACCTATTCTAGTGTTCATTGTCTGGCTTCATACAGACCTTCACCAATTAGCTGGGCATAGATTCTAGGAGTCTCTCAAACTTTTTCTGGTGATGCATCTTCTCTGGACTGTGTGTGTACTTTTCCAGATAAAGTAATTTACACAGGTTTCATTTTTAGGAGCTAGTGTTCTCTTGCTTTACCTGGTGTCTATATGCAGTACCAGTCTCTCTAGAGCAGTAATAAGCTGCCATGCTTGCTTCTGTTCTCAGCAGCCACCAAATCTCCCAGATATGTTGTGTTTCCCATTAGCAATCTGAATTAGGTGTGACAGAAACCAGTCCCTAAGGCAGTCCCCTGGAAAGCCAGAAAGTTGATGCAGGTTTCACTCTTCTCTTTCCCTTCCAAGAGAGATGCTTAGAGATGGGAGTTTTTTTCTCTATTTCTTTGTGTGCCAGTCAGTATGAGGAAGGACTACGGCAAGTAAATGCAGCAAACTTTCTTACCTGCTTCAATGCCAGTTTTCTCAGCTTTGGTCTTACCAGTGGGGCTGCAATCTTTTAACTATTTTTCTGAAGTTCACAAAGGCAATTTGATTCATATATTGTTAAGTCAGTGTCTTCATGGGGGAACTAGGGCATGGGGCTTTCTATTCTGCCATCTTACTGATATCAGTGGAGCATGTACTTTAAAAAAAACTTCAACTTCTATCTTAGATTTAGGAAGTATATGTTCGTGTTTGTTATATGGGTATATTGCACAATGCTGAGGTTTGGGGTACAACTGATCCTGTTACCCAGGTACTAAGCATAGTATCCAATAGTTAGTATTTCAACCATTGCCCCACTCCATTCCTCCTCCCTTCCTCGTCTACTAGTCCCCAGTGTCTATTTTTGCTATGTTTATATCCATGAGTACTCAGTGTTTAGCTGCTACTTCTTATAAGTGAGAACACGTGGTATTTGGTTTTCTGTTCCTGTGTTAATTCACTTAGGATAATGGCCTCCAGCTGCATTGAAGTTGCTGCAGAGGACTTGATTTAAATCCTTTTAATGACTATATAGTATTCCATGGTGTATATGTATTATATTTTCTTTATCCAGTTCACCATTGATGGGCACCTAGGTCGATTCCATGTTTTTACTATTGGAAATACTATTGCAATGAACAGATGAGTACATACTTTTTTTGGTGAGATGATTTATTTTCTGCTGGATATATACCCAGTAATAGGATTTCTGGGTTGAATGGTACTTCGTTTTATGTTTTTTGAGAAATCTTCAAATTGCTTTCCATGGAGGCTGAACTAATTTACATTCCCACCAGCACTGTATGTAAGTGTTCCCTTTTCTCTACAGCCTCTCCAGCATCTGCTGTTTTTGACTTTTAAGTAATAACCATTCTGACTGCTGTGAAATGATATCTCGTTGTGCTTTTTGTTTGCATTTCTCTCATTATTAGAGATGTGCATTTTTCCAGATGTTTGTTGGCTGCTTATATGTCTTCTTTTGAGAAGTATCTGTTTATGTCTTTTGCCCATTTTTTAATGATGTTGTTTGTTTCTTGTTTGTTCAATTATTTAAGTTTCTCATAGATTCTGGATATTAGACCTTTGTTGGATGTGTAATTTGTGAATATTTCTCATATTTTGTGGGTTGTCTGTTTGCTCCATTGATACTTTCTTTTACTAAGAAGCACTTTAGTTTAATTAGGTCCCACTTGAGAATTTTTGTTTTCATTGCAATTGCTTTTGAGGACTTAGTCATAAATTCTTTCCCAAGGCTGATGTCCAGGATGGTGGTTCCTAGGGTTTGTTCTAGGATTCTTATATTTTAGGTCATATACTTAAACTTTTAATCCATTTTGAGTTAATTTTTGTCTATGGTGGAAGGTAGGAGTTCAGATTTATTCTTCCGCATATGATTACCCAGCTATCCAGCACCATTTATTGAATAGGGAGTCCTTTCTCTATTGCTTTCTATTGTCAACTTTGTCAAAGATCAGATGGCTACAGGTGTTTGGCTTGATTTCTAGGTTCTCTATTTTGTCCCATAGGTCTATGTGTCTACATTTGTAGCAGTACTCTAATGTTTTGGTTACTGTAGCCTTATAGTATAGTTTGAAGTTCCGTAATGTGATGTGTCTGGCTTTGTTCTTTGGAGCAAGTATTTTTAAAAATACAAATTAATACCAGGAAAACTTTCCTAACATTTTTGACTGAGAAGCACTACTCCCCACCCTGGAATATTAGGTTATGTCAGGAAGCCTCAGGGCAATACACAACAAATACTCGTTAAGCTTTCAGGTTCAATTCAAAATTAATTTCCATTTGCCTCGATAAAATTACTTATAGGAAAACAATCTGGACATAGCTAAAGGTATTTTAGAAGCTCAGTTGAAGAGATGAGAAGAATTATATGAAATAAATAAATCAACTATAGTTAAAACCTAGTGAGCTCTCTATTATGTTTAACTTTTCCAAGTAATTTGCTACTCACTTTCTTTTTTTTTTTTTGTTTTAATTATTCTTTAAGTTCTAGGGTACATGTGCACAACATGCAGGTTTGTTACATAGGTATACACGTGCCATGTTGGTTTGCTGCACCCATTAACTCGTCATCTATATTAGGTATTTCTCCTAATGCTATCCCTCCCCCAGCCCCCAACTCCACAACAGGCCCCAGTATGTGATGTTCCCCACCCTGTGTCCAAGTGTTCTCATTGTTCAATTCCCACCTATGAGTGAGAACATGTGGTGTTTGATTTTCTGCCCTTGTGATAGTTTGCTGAGAATGATGGTTAGTAATTTGCTACTTTCCAGGGAAGAAGTACTCAGGGGAGTAGAGAAACAAATTTGTATTTTAAGAACCCCAATGCAATTTCACTGAAAAACAACAGGAAATTAATATGGAACACATCTTAGCAGTCAATGTGCTCCAGAAAAACTTTCTGTCTCTCTATGTGTGTGTGTGTATAGACACACACACATATGTATATATGAAGAGATTTTTATGAAAAAATTGGGTCACATGATTATGTAGGCTAGGAAGTCCTGCAGTCTGCCATCTGGAAGTAGGAGACCCAGAAAAGCCCGTGCTGTAGGTCCAGTTTGAGTTCAAAGGTCTGAAATCCAGGGGAACCAATGGTGTAAATCTAGTCCAAGGGTCGTAAAAGATCGATGTCTCAGGTCAAGCAGCAGGCAGCCAGGAAGAAATAAAAAAATGGATGAATTCCTCCTTCCTCTGCCTTTTTTTTCTATTCAGGCCCTCAAGAGATTGGCTGATGCATACCCACACTGGGGTGGCAGCAATCTACTACTGAGCTTACCAGTTCAAATGCTAGTCTCATCTGAAAACACCCTTACTCTCATCTGGTCACCCCTTGGCCCAGTCAGGTTGACACATAGAATTAGCCATTATACCATCTGAACATATAAAATAAAAAAAAGATTGAAAACACAAAAATAAATTTATGTATATTTAAAGACAATTCTGTTTCTTGGTAAAGAAAAGGATGAAATTCTGACAGGAATTCCTGTATTAGGACTGTTTCTTCCCTGTAATGATGTTGGTACTTTTGGTCTGTACTCCTGGTCAGTAGACCATCATGTGACTGCTCCTTGCACCTTGTGTTTTCTTCTATAGAATAGCTCTGAAGGCTATAAGGAAACTTTACTTTGTTCATTCTGGAAATACCAAAGTCTGACTCTTTTTTTTTTTTCCTTCATGCAGAATTTCATTGTCCAGCAGCTGAATGAGTCATTTTCTTATTTTCTGGGGCTTTCAGACCCACAAGGTAATAATAATTGGCAATGGATTGATAAGACACCTTTAAAGAAAAATGTCAGGTGAGTGCAGATCTGGGGCCTTGTTTACATAGAAAATCTAGGGAAATTTTGTTAGGAGTGACTAATAACGTTAATATTGATAATTATGATAATAGGATCTAACAATTATTAAGCATTACTAACGATATACATTATCTCACTTATACTTCATGAAAACATCTCTTTTTCTGAACTAATTTTACAGATGAAAAATTAAATAACTTGCCCCAAATCAATAAACTAATAAGATGAGAAACTGGATGTCAACTCCTTGTCTATCTGACTCTAGAGATGGTGCTCTAAACTATTGTATTTTGCTGTTTCTAAACACAAGTAGACACTTAAACTGATCTCTGATTAATAAAACTTAAAATATCTGGGTCAGAACTATGTACAATTTTAGTAGAAAAATTACATAATAATACTATTTACTTATGGCTTTTAAAAAGAATTCATTTATACATTATGTTATTTGATTCTTTCACAATCTCGTGGGTTAGTTAGGGACCTTATTGTAATTCCTACTTTTAAAGATGAGAAATCTAATACTTGAGGAGATTGAATTACTTGCCCAAGATCAAAATGAGTGAGTATCAAAAACAGGTCTTGTAATTCCAAAAGTTATGTCCAACCTCCCACTCTTTACCCAGAATGTATTCCCTGGAGGCAGGGTAACTTTTACATCCAGACTCAGGCATCCTAACATTCACTTAAGGCAGATCCATGAGAATAAAGAAGCTTAGGAAGATGATAAGAATACACAGATGTAAGGAGATAGCCTCTTTATTTCATGTCAGTAAGAAAGAAATTATTTAATAACCCCAGCCAGGATAAAGGCTCTGTAAAGAGGAAGATGATTGCAGTGGAAAGATCTAAGAATAAACCATCTCATAAAATTTTGCCAGGAGAATGTTAAAGGAACAAGTGTAAAAGTATGTGTCCATACTTAAGGATCTGAGGAGGGCAGTATGGGAAGGAGGAACAATCTTTGGAACGTTCTCTCTTCCTAAGTCCCACTCTGTTCACTCCAAACGTTTATACTTTCTAATCATTCACCATACATTCATTGAAGATGTCTACCTACCTTTTTTTTTTCATTTAGATTTTGGCACCCAAATGAGCCCAATCATTCAGCAGAGAAATGTGCTTCAATAGTCTTCTGGAAACCTACAGGATGGGGCTGGAATGATGTTATCTGTGAAACTAGCAGGAATTCAATATGTGAGATGAATAAGATTTACCTATGAGTAGAACTTTTTTCAGTGATGTCTTTAACATTGAAACCTATTCTGAAATGATAATTTCTTCCTGTAATTTACACATAACTCTTATGTTATAGAGGTTCATAGAAATGGAAAGATACCTGTTTCCCTTTAATCAATCTTCTAGTTTCCTCCTTTCCACTGATGATAGAATGCACCCTTCCTCTCTTTGTTCCATTCTTTCACTTGTCATTCATTTTTTTCTTTCTTCACACTTCATTACACAAACATTTACTGTTTCAGAGACTGTACTATTTTGTTTGTTGGAAGATTTATAAGGAAGCATCTTTTGCAAATTATGACTTTTCTTCCTCAATATACCATAAAGAAATCTTTTTGGTCAATATGGTAGTTGGAAGTACAATCATCTGAAGGCCTGACAAGAGGTGAAAGACCTGTTTTCTAGATGGTTCACTCTCATGGCTGGCAATTTGGTGTTGGCTATTGCTAGAAGGCCTCAGTTTCTGACCATGTGGAACTATCCATAGGGCTAACTGAATCTCCTTACAATATGGTGGCCAGCTGCTATTGGAACAAGTGATCCAAAAGAACAAGTAAAAGTAGTAATGTCTTTAATGAACTACACTCAGCAGTTATACACCATAACTTCTGCTCTACCCCATTGGTCACATAAAACAGATCTGATATGATAAGGAAGGGGAATACCCAAAGGCATGAATAACAGAATGTGATAATCACCAAAAGCCATCTTGGAGGCTATCACAGCAAAATTTATTTTAAAAGATACGAAAAAAAAGTGTAGTGAAAAATAATTTAAAAATGTCCTACACTAAAATTATGGACTTCTGTTCATTAAAACACTATAAAGAAAATTAAAATAAAAATGACTGGAGGAAGATATTTTAAACACTTATAACTGACACGGTATTAATGCCAAGCATATATGAATATCTATCACAAATTAATTAGAACACAAAAAAATGAGCAAAATATTTGAACAAGCACTTGATGAGGAAATGCATACTAAAAACATGCTTTTATAGAGATGCTCAGCTTCATTCACAAAGTAAGAACTGTAAGTCAAGAAAATAAGACATCATTTTATTCCAATTTTAATGATGAAATTAAAAAACATAATTCTAAAAGTGGGAGGAAATATAGATCAATAAGATCCCATATACATTACTGATTTGTGTTTAACTTTGTAGAACTGCTTTGGAAAGTACATAAATATACATTTTCCTTACATAAATACTACTCAAAAAATGCTGTATTGAGACATATTCAAGGTCTATGACATTTGGGTATTAAAATGAAGAGGTGTTCTAAAATTCTAGTTTTTGTATTGGGCAGTGAAGTTAACATAAATATCAAACAAAATAAAACAAAATGAAACAAGAATGTAAAGAGGATAGCAGAGGATGAATCTAAAATTATGATCAGGTCGGGCACGGTGGCTCATGCCCGTAATCCAAGCACTTTGGGAGGCCAAAGGGGGCAGATCACCTGAGGTCAGGAGTTGGGACCAGCCTGGTCAACATGGCAAAACTCTGTCTCTACTAAAAATACAAAAATTAGCCAGGAATGGTGGTGCGTGCCTGTAATCCCAGCTACCTGGGAGGCTGAGGCAGGAGAATTACTTGAACCGGGAGGCAGAGATTGCAGTGAGCCGAGACTGTGCCATTGCACTTTAGCCAGGGAGACAAGAGCAAAACTCCATCTAAAAAAAAATTATGATTAATATGCTATTGTGCAAAGTGCAAATTTGAAAAATAATTGGAATATAAAACCCACTGGAGGCTAGATTAATGGAAGTTTGGGGTTCTTGACTGATACCTTTGTGTTCAACATCACACTGAAATTGTTGTGCTCCTGGGATCCAGAAGGTGTCTTTGTCTTCATGCCACCATCACCATAATGAAGCTGCTGACTAGACACTGGATACTCCATCTAGCCATAACAAGTACATCTGGAAAATCACAATCTGTGATCTTGTTCATCAGCAGAAACACCAGCAAGAAATTAGCCCCTGCTTTGTTTTTACTTCCCACATCTCATGCTATTGAATTTAATAGGTTCCACATTTACATCAATAACATAATTGAAAGAAAGTCTAAAAAACGTTGTTCATAGCTTTCCAGACTTTGAAGCACTGGCAGGCACAACAAAGGAGGTGGGAATGGGTGTGAGTGCTGATTGATTAGATCTGGTATGGTTGTGCTACAGCATTCTTTAAATACATTGTTATATTTGGCCTTAACATCACTATCCTTATGTGAGACAGCCCATATTTTTCCTTTTGGTGCTATCCTAGTTTGGAATCACTTTATGCTATTCATAGAATGAGTCAGAGTGCTTTTCATCTTCTATTCTCTGAACAATGTGGTTAAATTTGTCTGTAATGTAAGTGTATATTTCTTAGAAGTAGTTAAATTTATCTGTAAAATTCTCTGGACTTGCTCCCTATTTAAGACTACTTCTTTGACCATATTTTTCTTTTCTTCTATGATTTTGAGACTTAGGATTTCTAACTCTTTTTAGTTAATATAGTATTTTTTAGACAATCATATATTTCATATTAATTTTTAATTTGTCAATTTAATCTGTGAATGGTGTATGTATATAACTTTAATCTACCCTTGCATCTGAACAATGTGTAGCATTTTTACTTTTAATTAATTTTGCATGTATCTTTCTTCTTTTAACTTGATCAAGCTTGTCAAAGTTACATTAAATGTGCTTTAAAAAAGAGACTCAGCTTTTCTAATTACATGTACTTTTTTCTATTTAATTAATTGCTGTTTTTGTTATTAATTGATTCTTCTTTCTTTGGATTTATTTTAATTTTGTTTATCTAGCTTCTTAAACTAAATTAATATAAAGGAATTCATTGATCTTCAGTCTTTTTTCACAAATAAAACATTAAAGGCTACATTTTTACTTTGCGTATTATTTTAACCCAACAGCTTTCAAAATTTAATGATCTCATTATTTCTCATTTTTACATAGTGATAATTGTGGGAACAACTTTTTCTTAGTCTAGGAGTCATTTAGTACAGTGTTTTAAAATTTTTATGAGAATAGATCAGTTTTTGGCTTCTATATTGAAAATTTCTTACTACAGTTTGTTTAAAGAATGCAGCATATGCATTCTATAATACTTTTAAGCGTTTATTATATTTTCTTTGTGGCCTTGAATTAATCCAGACAAGAAAAGCTAAACTGTGTTAGCAAATCGGTGAGGATAACTGCTTAGGCTTATTTAGGACTGCTTTCATTCGGGTTTATTATGTAACAGGGAAACAAAAAATGCAATGAACAAACTCCTCCTCAGTGGAGAGTATTCACATGGATTAACAAGTATCCTTCATACTCTGAGTCTATTCTGAGAGGTGTAACTTCATACCTCCTTCCCAAACCTCCTTGATATTAGTTCTGCAACCTTATTCTTTCAAAGCCCCTGAGCACCCAGCTAAACCATCAGGCACTAACTGTGAATTGATACAGAACCTTATCTCAGGCCATCTTTCCTTCTAGGCAAAGTGAGCCATCAGATGTACAGTTTGAAGTTACTCCCAGTGAGAAGGTTTCTATTTTTCACAGACTTTCTGAGCTAGTTCTGAGTAGAGCTATAACTTCCAGCAGTCTACCTCTAGTAAGTGCCAAATAATGAGCATAACCATCTGAAAACAAAACTTTCTTTCTTTCTGAGATAACTAGTCATAGAGAACTCCCTAGGAGGTCACAGGGGAGGATTTAGGGAGAAATAACATTATGGCAGGTTAAGCATATAGAGATTGTGAATCACTGTGTTTTGAAACCAATTTAGGTCTAATCCTATTTAAAATGCTCCAATATTTCCCATGATATATCAGCTAACACAGTTGATGAAGGTCTTTATAAGTGGTGATATGGTTTGGCTCTGTGTCCCCACCCAAATCTTATCTTGAACTGTAATCCCCATGTGGCAGAGGAGGGGCCTCAAGGGAAGTGATTGATTCATGGGGGGAGACCTCCCCCTTTCTGTTCTTATGATAAAGTTCTCACAAGATCTGGTTGTTTGATAAGTGTGTAGCTCTTCTTCCTTCTCTTGCTGTCTCCTGCCATCATGGTAAGATGTATTTGCTCTCCCTTTGCCTTCCACCATGATTGTAAACTTCTCAAGGCCTCCCAGTCATGCTTCCTTCAGTCTGCAGAACTGTGAGTTGAACCACCTTTCTTCATAAATTACCCATTCTCAGGTAGTTCTTTATAGCAGTGTAAAAATGGACTAATACAGAAAATTGGTACCAGGAGAGTGGAGCACTGCTATAAAGATACCCCACATGAAATTCCACATGAAAATGTGGAAGTGACTTTGGAACCGGGTAACGGACAGAGGTTGGAACAGTTTGGAGGGCTCAGAAGAAGACAGGAAGATGTGGGAAAGCTCGGAACTTCTAAGAGACTTGTCAAATGGTTTTGACCAAAGTGCTGATAGTGATATGGACAATAAAGTCCAGGCTGAGGTGCTCTCAGATGGAGATGAGGAACTTGTTGGGTATAGGAGTAAAGGTCACTCTTGCTATGCTTTTGCGAAGAGACTGATGGCATTTTGTCTCCGCCCTAGAGATATATGGAACTCTGAACTTGAGAGAGATGATTTAAGGTATCTGGCAGGAGAAATTTCTAAACAGCAAAGCATTTGAGATGAGACCTGGCTGTTTCTAAAACTGTAGGCTCATATGTGTGAACAGAGATGATCTGAAACTGTAACTTATCTTTAAGAGGAAAGCAGAGCACAAAAGCTTGGAAACTCTGTAGCCCAGCCATGTAGTAGAAAAGAAAGACCCATTTTCTGGAGAGAAAGTCAAGCCTGCTGCAGAAATTTGCATAAGTAAAGAGGAACTGGAGCCAAATGCTAATGAGGCAAATGTCTTCAGGTCATTTCAGAAATTTTCTCAGTAGTTGGTACAGGTTTAGTAACTTACCTTAATTAGATACCTTAATTGGATGTTTAGCAACTTACCTTAATTAGATGCCAGAAACTTCACTGAGGGTCTGTACTATAAACGTCATACCAAGCCATCTATGGTATTTTATGGTCCATGCTAGTATATTTTTAATAACATTTATGAAGCATTATTTCAAGCAAATATCACCACTCATGTCAAATACAAAATATTGTCAGAATCCTAGAAGCCTGTTGCCTAGAAGCTTTTCCTAATTCAAATCCTTTCTCTCTCTCTCAATTTTTTTTTTTTTTTTTTTTTTTGAGCCAGAGTCTCGCTCTGTCGCCCAGGCTGGAGTGCAGTGGCGCCATCTCAGCTCACTGCAAGCTCTGCCCCCCGGCTTCAAGCCATTCTCCTGCCTCAGCCTCCCGAGTAGCTGTGACTACAGGCACCCGCCACCACGTCTGGCTAATTTTTTGTATATTTAGTAGAGACGGGGTTTCACCATGTTAGCCAGGTTGGTCTTGATCCCCTGACCTCGTGATCTTCCCGCCTCGGCCTCCTAAAGTGCTGGGATTACAGGCATAAGCCACCGCGCCTAGCCATCCTTTCTCTTTTTTAAAGGTAGCCACTTTCCTGACTTCTATTGTAATCCATTCCTTATACTCATTATATTTTTTATCTCCTAAGTTTGCATTTCTGTACAGTACAGCTTATATTTTCCTAGTTTTCAAAATGATTTCATGTCTTTGAAACATATTAAAACCATTTTATGACTCAGGAAAAAATTAACTTTTGTAAACGTTTAATGCGTCCTGGAAATAAATTTTATTCTGCAGTTAGGGGGTTGGCATTTTATATATGTTGATTCGATGAAGTTTGGCAAGCATGGTGTTTGATACTGCTATATCCTATATTATTGGCTTACCTGTTTTATTTCTGAGAAATAGGTGTTAAGATCTCTCACTGATTGGGAATTTGTCTATTTCTCATTTAAGTTTTGTCAAATCTTTCTTTGCTTGCAAGCATCTCTTGTTACCCAAATCTAATCTATTCCTGAAAATGTGATGGTTAGCAAAGTTTGAGATAACTAGAGCCTGTATTTCATCATTTTAAATGGCAATAATAATGATAGTTTATTTTTATTTCATATAAAAGCCTCATCAAATTTTCTAAACAACTACTCAAATGGTCATTAATATATATCCACAAAGGATTTCTGCATAATATAACATACTTTAAAACAAATTACCTAATTATTTAGTACATATTAAACTTATTAGTGGGTGTGACTATATGCAAAAGTTGTGTGATATATGATACAAATTATGTTATTCTTTTTCATTGCACTGAAAATATCATAATATAAAGAAGAAACCCATCATCCAAATTGAGCCTATATTGATTGATACTCAGAAGTATCTGGCAGTAGGAGCCTATAAAGGGATAAGCAATTGGGGAAAGGATTGGGAAGCTGGTAGTACTGAACAACATCTCACCTGGACTCATGGGCAACTTGAATAGTTGCTACTGTGATGCATAGGTAGATTCTAACATATTTTTCCCCCTTGAATAGAAATATGGCATAACAA